TCTAATTTTATTTTGAATATTTCATTTTGGTAATCTTATTTTTAATTTCTAAAAAAAAAAGGTCTCTTGATCTCGAATTCTTTCCTTATGGTATTATGTTCTTGTTTTTTTGTTTATATTTTTAGCTACAACATTTTCTTTTATTTTCCTAAGAATGCAGACCGGAGGGATTTCCCCATTTCTCCTGCCTTTTGTTTGTTTGTTTGTGTTTTGGTTTTCTGTTATCTTGATATTTCTTAGAATGAAGAGTTTTTCTAAAAGAGCATTCTAAAAGAGTTTCTAAAAGAGCATTGGTGATTTCTTCCTATTTAAGAATATCTCCATATGAGGCTGGATAGGGCTTTGATATATACACATGGACTTTATTTCATTAGCAGGCTTTTCTGTCTTGTGATCTCTTGAGATGAGGTGTCTTTTCTTAAACTGGGGAATGTCTATATGCCGCATTTCAGAAGACTTTTTCCCTGGGGTCTTTTCAGTTTCCTTAGTGAGGAATCTTATATTATTTTTTTTCCCTTTGGTGAGGGAAAGTAGGATAAATATTGAGCTATATAGTTGGAATAAATAATTTAGATGATGCTTGTGGTGAGTTTGGAGAGGTACTGGGTTGAGTAATGTCCCCTCAAAATTCATATCTACCCAAAATCCTCAAAATGAGGTCTTATTTGGAAATAGGGTCTTTGTAGATCTAATTAAAATGAGGTCATACTGGGTTAGGGTGGGCCCTCATCCAGTGATACATAGAGAAAAAAGAATGCTCTGTGAAGATGAGACAGAGATTGGAGTGAATATAGCTGGAAGCCAACGAATACCAAGGATTGCCGGCAACACCAGAAGCCAGGAGAGTGACATGAAACAGATTCTTCCTCAGAGATTTCAGACTTCTAGGCTCCACAAGTGTGAGAGAATAAATTTTTGTTGTTTTAAGCTACCTGATTTATGGTAATTTGTTACGACAGCCCAAGGAAACTGAACTGGGTCTGCAGCAACCAAATCAACAACCTGACCAGCATACTCACCAGGCCTTTTGAATAGCATCTCTTGGCTCCTGGCCTTTTCCATTTGGGCACTGTACACAAGCATTTCAAAGGGCCAGACCTCAGACTGGAGAACTCAGGCATAAGTAAAGGATTTTCACTTCTTAGTCCATGAGATTTTAGCTTTCCAGATTAAGAAGGAATTAGCCTCTCCCCTGGTGTAAGTAGGGGTTGGAAAGATTCAGTCCTGGTAGGGTGTGGCAGAGCCTTTTATCTGCACTCTGGTTCTGCTCACTCAGCATTTGTGGTTGGGGGACCACCGGCCCATCTCAGGCATGATAAAAGGGATTGTGGTCCTAGGACTTGCAGTTCCAACATTAGGGGTCTTACGAAGTAGCGATGTGATTCCCCACCTCAGATTTCTATCAGGATTGATTGTCTTAAGCACTGGGCTGCTTTTTCCATGGCGTGCTGTACTGAAAACCATCTCCTTTCTACATGAAGTCAGCCTGCCAGGAATCCTGGCATGTTAATTTTTACCTCTCATAGAAGGCAACTGTTGTATAGTCTGACTTAGAATTAATGCCCCAGGTCTTGCTCCAGTATGGTCCCTGACATACCCAAGGCCAGAGCCTCTGTAGTGGTTCTGCCTGATTCATGAGCTCCTTCCTCATCTGTGTCTGCTGCATTAATGCCCCAGCCTGCAACTTCTTCCTTCTGACTTTCCTTCCTCAAGAACCCAATTCTAAGGCCTCCAGGAAAACATGTTCCTAGCCATTGAACTGTCTCTAATAGCAGATACATCATAGAGGTTTAGGCAAGAGGGAAAACTCAGGCCTTTTTTTCTTTTTAAATTATCTTCCCATTTTCGTTTCACTTTCTAGAGAAAAGTTGTAGAACTCAAGCCTTTAAATTCAGTTTCTGTTAAGATGGATAGTTTCCTAGGTGAGTTATCAGTAGTTAAAATGCATATCTGATTTTTAGGAGTAGCCATTGGTGAAACAAGTATGGCATAGATTCAAGTCACTGACAATATGTGGTTTTCTATGCTGTCTATGCATTGATTTCTATAATGAGTTTCTAACTTTGTCCTCTGGCTTCACTAGCTAACTCTAATTCCTTTTCTACTTTTTCTTTACTTCTGGGAAGGTATTGCTTCTGTAGATTTCACACTGTAGAATGAAACTCACCTCATTGTGACCCCTAACCTATGTAGTAAATCCTCTGAAATTAATTTTGGTTCTTTCTGATCTGTGCCCCCATATGACTCCCCCCAAGGTTTCATTATTAGATTTTGACAGCCTTTTAAATTTGTAAGTGCCACAAATTTGTCACTAGAGATGAATGGGTAAAAAGAAAATTCCTTGCAGTGGAGGATATGGGTAAAATATTTCAAGCGACAGATCTGCATCAATAATGTTAATGTTTATAGGGTGATGAAAACCATATAAGTCTTAAGCCAGAATCTTGTTTCAGTTGAGTCTCAGAAATTTTGACCACAGAAGCCAAGGCACATTCCATTTATTCCAGCAAATGTTTTTTTCAAGTCCTTTCCAACTGTCTGAAAGACAGTTGTCACTCTTGAATGCCTGAACCTTGTGTTTTTTCTACCATGTTAGTTAAGAGCAACGGAAACATTGTCTACTATTCCCAAGATGACTTTTGTCTTGCCTTGAGTTCTGAAATGGAAAGCAAATTTGACAATGTTATTTTGCCCTTTATTTTTCATGTTCATTCTCTGGCAAGGTTTTTAAGAAATTTTGCATCATTCTTTCTGACTGACTTCTGCCCTTGTTTCATGCTAGAAGATTGCCTTTACTGCACACTGAGCAGTCATAGGGCCGTGGATTTTCCTTGTTTCTTATTGATACCAGAGGAGTTCCCCAGTGGGTTCTGGTTCTGATAAAAAAGAGTTTTAATATTTGTGGGACTGAAAAGTACATTCAGAAGATATCTAGAAAAAAACAATTGATATTACCATGAATATGATGCCAGTGAATATGTATATACATACATACATATGTGTGTGTTTTAACTAAAAGAGGAGGATAAAAACATTAAGCCATTGTAGTATGGTCTTTTGCTTATATGCCTAGTAACTGATATTTTTTTCTTGAAAAACATTAACAAAAAATGATTTATTAAAAACTAAGCTATTATTACGTTTCCCAGGGAAATTAAGAGTAGTTCTTAGGGAAAAGAAAGAAAAATAAAGGAGAGAAAAATACCAAGATTAAAAATCACCACTACCCCTACCTTCATTCAAAGCCTGAACAGGTTTCCCTGACTATAGTTATTCTTTACCAAAGTCATCTGGAAGTGATACCCTAACTACATAGTAAGCATGTTGATTTTACATTGGAAATTTCACATTATGCCAAGCATTATTATATTAAAAGTTGTTATGAAGATAGGTTTCTTGAAGTGGGCCATTATATTACATTGTCCTAAGTCAGTAATAATAAAACAGCTGATTAGTATTTCTAAAGTACTTAGGGAGTGGAATGAGATTGTGTTTTCCCTTTTGTATTGCATAAGAGTAAGGTAGTAAGATGTTACTTGATTTGCTTAGTCTTTCTCACTGCCTTTCATTTATTTCCAAAGGTTAAGTAAGATACAGTATAGGCTGTATGGTCAAGTTGCCTGAGTTCAAATTTTGGCTTTACCGTTTATTAGCCTAGTGACCTTGGGCAGATTATCAAATTTGTCTTTATTGTTGTCATCATCATCATCATCCCTAGTATAGAATTGTAGTACGTTAGCACTGAAAGGTATTTGAGAGACTATCAAATCCATCCCCCTATTTTCTAAAGAAACTGAAGGCAAGGAAATTCAATAGCTTATCTACCGCTAACTAGAACGTGATCTTTTAACTTTTATATCCTTTCCACTACATCAGTTTTTAGATTTGATTTCATAGACTAGTAAAATAATTTTTTTTTAATTGTGGTCGTGATAACCGGTCTCAAAGATGGTCCTCAATTCTATATTCTGCTGGTCTTGGTGACCAGTAGAATATGGCAGAAGTAATGGCTTATCCCATCTGAGATTAAGTTATAAAAGACTTTGTGGTTCTGTCTTGGATGCTTTCAATCTCTTGGATCACTCACTGTGGAAGAAGCCGACTTCCATGTCATGAGCGGCCCTAGGAGAGACCCATACGAAGAGTAACTGTGGCCTATGGCCAGCAACATTTGAGGAACTCAGACCAATAGTGATATGAAAGAGCCATCTTGGAAAAACATCTTTCAACCCACTCAGGTCTTCAGGTGATTTCAGCCCCACTGCTGACATCTTGTCTGTGGCCTCATGAGAGACCCTCATGAGAGCCAGAACCACCCAGCTAAGCTTCTTCCGGTTTCCTGACCTTTAGAAACTCTGTGAGATAATAAATGTTTGTTGTTTTAAGCTGCTGGGTTTTAGAGTAATTTGTTACACAGCAGTAGTTAACTAATATAGTAGAATTAGGGAGACCGATCTATTTCCAGGGTTTTTATTTATTTATTTTTTGGTCACAGAGAAAAGTAAAAGGACTATTTTAGCACCAAAATAGTAGGAGTGTCATAATTATATAGTAAAGGGCAGTTGTTTAAATTGAATAAATTTATCTTGTTGAAAAACTTTGACATTGTTCTTTTCCTCATTTTGCTACTGACCACTGAAGTCTCATGAACTGACATTTGGGAACCAGCGCCCTTCATCATTCTGTATTTCAGTTAGCACTTTTCAAGTTTGCCTTCTTTTGTGCCCTCAGGTGTTTGCCAAATAAAGGAAAATGTGTTGTCTTTTGAAATGTGACTATAGAAATACCAAATTGAGGAGACTCAAGTTGTATTTCTTATTCATGGTGGAAGGGACAGTAGCACACGAAGACTATGTTAATGTTAGTCACTCTAGCCAGTTGCTCTATGTTTAGATTTCCTCGTCTGTGAATTGAAAGGTTATATTATATGATGTCCTGGAAGCCTTTCCAACCCTAAAATGTTGAGAATTTATTGGCATAGAAGGTCTTCTATTTTGGAATGTAGTCTAATAATGGAGTACAGTTTACTGAGGAGAAATGGGGGCATAGGTCCTGAAGATCTTTGGGCATCATTCTTCTCTCCCATACTATTTGTCCAAAAAAGGGAAGTAACCATAAAATCTTTGCATTTTCCATTTTTAAAAATGCAGTTGTTTAAAATCCAAATTAAAATTTCATCAGGACTGGAGTTCCTGAGTGGCTTAGTCAGCTAAGTGTCTGCCTTTGGCTCAGGTCATAATCTTAGGGTCATGGGATTGAGCCCCAGGTTGGGCTCCCTGCTCAGGGGGGGAGCCTGCTTTCCCCACCCTCTCTGCTGTACCCTCTGCTTGTGCTCTCTCTCTCTGTCAAATAAATAAGTAAATAAAATCTTTTTTAAAAAGAAAGAAAGAAAAGAGAAGAACTTCCTCAGGACTAAGAGTTACCCAAAAGGAGAAGAAAGAAAACTGCCAGTTAGAAGGGACATACTCCTTTTCCTCTGACTCTACATGTGCACACTTGTGGCCTAACCTCCATACTTAATAGTTCTGTAGTTATAAAGGAACCAACCAGGAATGGAAATGTCCCAAAGCAGTCAGAGTTCCCTTGAGAAAAAATTCTGTCATTCATAGATGAACTGGTTAGGTGGAAAATCATAATTATTTTAGACATGTCAAATAAAATGCTGTAATTGATCCTTCTTATTGACAGAAGGATAGAAAAATTAGAGGGAAAGGGAACAGGAGAAAGTAAATTATAGTTTCAAGTAAGAGAAAAGACTAGTGCCCTGTCAAAGCAGATAGTTTCTTCAGAAATCTTTTTGTTGGTGTTGTTTGGTCATTGCATAGACACTGTTACCATTTACTTAAGATTTATAGTAAGAGCAGGGTGATACAGAATTTTAAAAGCATACCTATTTTGTCAAAACATGTTTAATTCTGGTAAGCCTTATGAATGAATAGAAAATATAAACAAACAAACAAAAACACGTTCCTCCTGGTTGTTACAAAACTTTCCCTTAAAAAATGAAATAGGTAAAGGCATTGGATTTTCTTTGCAACCCAAGCAAGAGAGCTAAAATTAGCATCGCTAGATCAAACGATTCTACTTTACTTAAAAGAAACAGAGGGGCATCTATCATGTTTAAAAGCCTGGGTTCCAGAGATAGACCCTTTGCACTCAGGGGCATGCTGGCAGTATGGCCTGGGGCAACTTACTTAAACTAGTCTGTGCCTGTTTACTCTTATACAAGATGGAGGTAATAATATAACAGTAATTACAAGTGCAGCATTGTGAAGATAAATCAAGTTAGCGTTATAAAATTCCGGACACTTATTAGCACTCAATATAAATGTTTTCTGGTGTTATTACTGTAAAATGGATTTTCTTGTGCAGGGATTTTGAAGAACTTTGGCAGCTTAGTATAGCTTCTCCATAACCATTTATATTTTGCCCCTTCATGGTAATAACAAGTGCACCAAATTATGAATTGTCACTTGAAAAGTTAGCCCTGTCATAGACATTTACTTATGGAGTATTTACTTATGGAGTATCTATCATTAAAGGTTAAGCATATCGGGGCACCTGGGTAGCTCAGTGGGTTAAGCCTCTGCCTTCGGCTCGGGTCATGGTCTCAGGGTCCTGGGATTGAGCCCCACATCGGGCTCTCTGCTTGGCAGGGAGCCTGCTTCCTCCTCTCTCTCTGCCTGCCTCTCTTTCTGCTTGTGATCTCTCTCTCTCTGTGTCAAACAAATCTTTAAAAAAAAAAAATAGGTTAAGCATCTCATCCAGTGAAAATTACTGGATGTTCTTAAAAAGGATTCCAGAGGCAACATCAGTATAAGCTAGGTAGTAGTAGTTATCACCTTCTCCCATTTTTTAGGTGAATTTCAGAATTATTTGCAAATAGCTATTACAAAAGAATGACACTGAGTTTTTCATTTATGTAGCTCCTTCCTAGGCACATTTCCGCTTCCGTCCCTTGATACTGCTGCATCCTCTTTCTACACTCTACCTCTCACCGCAGATTTTAGAAGTTCATTATGTTCATTCCTGGAATGCTTCCCCATTCATCTCTTTTCCGAGCTCCAGACTCCATATATCCATCTGCCAACCTGACCTTTCATTTGGATGTCTAATAGATTTGTCTAGAAAAGAACTCTTGACCTCTGTCTCCTAACCCTCCCTGCTTCCCCCAGATTTAAAATGAAAACCATTAAATGATTCTCTGCCATCCTTCCTATTTCGATTAATGGCATCACCATCCACCCAATTTGTAGAGTCACAAACCTATCCTCATTAAAAACTTACTTTTATTAAAATCCTTGATCCTTCTTTTCCCACCCAACCACCTGACTCTAGCTAGACAGCTGTCATCTCACTCAGGGTATACTGAAAAATCTTTTACCAGGACTCCCTGTTTCCACATCTGTCTGTTTTCAATCCGTGTATGTGTATTAGATCCTGTCTCTGTCCCCACTGTGGTAAGAATAAAATTCAGACTCTTTACCATAGGACTTGTCAGATCCTTGTCTGCCTTATCTCTGAGTGCTTTTCCTTTTCCCCATGATGTCCTGGCCACCCTTGGCTCCTTTCACTTTTGTGAACACAGTAGCGTGTTCCCCTCTTAGGACTTTTGCATTTGTTTTTTTGGCCTAGAAATGTTCTTTCCCTGGCTCTTTGTATGGCTGGCTCCTTCTCATTCTTAAAGTGTCAGTTTTAATGTAGTTCTTTAAAGAATCAGTTACCAGTCACTCAAGTAGCTACCTCCACTCCTTGTGACTATCGTGTAATTCTATTTATTTCCTTTATGGCATTTATCACATTATAATTTTCATCGCTTATTTAATTGTGCATCCTGTCTGTTGGCTGCCATAATCCCATTAATCAGAACAAGGCCAGGTACAAAGCAGACACTCAGTACATACTTATAACATACATTCATTGAATGAACAAAGGAATAAATTTTTATGAGCATTAGAAAGTTTATTTTTTATTTTCTTGCTTTGACTCTATTCAAGGTACTTCCAAGCTTCATTTTTAAGCTCTTTCAGTTTTTTGGCATAATTCATTTCCTGGCTGTACTACTGAGGATTCCAGCTTTTTGCTGGCTACTGGCTGGAGACCACTTTGAAGTTTTAGAGGCCACCACGGTTCCTTTACACATGGGCTTCTTCAGCATGACTGCTTACTTCATCAAGAAATTAGGAGAATCCGCTTTCCCCTGTTATTTAACTGATCATGAGAGTGACATCCTATCATCTCCATCATAGTCCACTACTTGGAAGCAAGTCACAGGCCTTGCTTACACTCAAGGGAAGGTGTGAAGGAGTGAACACCGGAGGTGAATCTCACTGGGAGTCTCCTTAGGGTCTGTCTGCCACAGTAATTAAAGAGAAACTGTCAGTTTCCCTAAGTGTGACTTGGATCAATAAGACTTTTAAAAAGAGTGAAGCTTACTACTATTTAGCATCGGAATGAGAGACTGTGGTTGCCTCTTAAAATTTTCCGTTCAAAATAGTATGCGTTAATTGTAAACCATCTCTTATGAACCAGGAGACGCTCCTGACTCAGAGAGAAGGAAAGAAGTTTTGTTAAAATATTAAGAAAGTGGAGGGACATAAAGAAGGCAGAAAAACTTTCATATTAAATGGAAGTAAAGGACATCTGTACAGCTCAGTCGGTCAAGCAGCTGTCTTCAGCTCAGGGAACGATCCCGAAGTCCTGGCATCAAGCCCCAGTTGGGAGCCTGTTTCCCCCTCTCCCTTTGCCCCTACCCCCTCTTGTGCTCTCTTGCTCTCTCTCTCAAATAAATCAAGTTAAATTAAGTGGAAGTAAGTTACTAATTCACTTTAAAACTCAAATTTATTTAAAATAAACTGTCAGTTCTAAACTGAGATGTACTCCACCTGAGTAAATCCCTTAGTGGTTTGAGAAATGAATACTATGAGTTGTGCTCTGATCCTGCTTGCATAGCTGATCCTATAAGGACCAATGTTTAGTTCTTAGGTCCTAGAATTCTTTCCTTGGTAATATCTGTATCCCTCTTCTAAATTCTAGAGTTCTCCAATTTGTATTTTCTTTAACTCTGTGACCTAACCCTTGTCCATGACCCAGTTATTCTTAGGTCAAATGGGTTTGATTTTGCCTGACCCACAGAGATATTTCAGGAAAATGAGTCATTATCCTGCACTAAGCCTTAAGGAAAAGATTATGTGTAAATGTAACATATTTTCATATCATAAGTATTTCTTCCCCCAAACCCATTAGTTGTATCAAGGTAGGTAGGTACCTGTATGGAGGTATGCTCCTTGACCTTTCTGGTAGAGGTGCCTAAACTACATTTTAGTCATGCTGGTTTTGAGATTGACCATGGTAAATGGAGTCAAATGACTGTCTCACAGACCTTGATCTGGAAGCTGGCAACTCAGGACTTTCTTTCTAAGGGTTTCTTTGCTTTCTGGGTCAAATCTCTCCATTTCTTTGGTCTCCTTTTATGGTATGATAGGATGCTGTACTTTAGCTTATGTTCAAAATGACAGAAGCTTAAGTTTAATTCAGTTCCCAGGAAAAGAAGGACTTAAGCTTCTCTAATTAATAGCCTCAGGGATTCATCTATGACTAGGGTCTGAGTTCACAAGAACTCTTTTTGACCTAGAAACCTACCAGAAACTGTTCACCAGAGGATTGGGTGGCTTGGAGTGAGGGACCTTATGGCCATGGTCAGTCTTAACAGGTCAATGGTAGGGCATCTCAGATTTCATTTTCAGATTTCAGCTTCTGAGTGTGCTATTGGTTGGTGCCTGCTAGAATAGTTAATATGAATTTGGATTTGGATTTGTCCTGCTGTAATGTCCTGAAGCAACCCCTTGTCACTGGTATCTCCTTTTATTTTAAGTGATTCTTCTTCTTCAACCAAATTCCCAGCTTTAGCAAGAAGAATCCAAAAGCAAAACTGCCAGAAATTGCCTCTTGGTTGTTCCTTTATGTTAAAGGAAATGCAAACTGAAACAGTAGTAGGATTGAAA